GAGATGCATGCGCTGGGAACAAAGACAATGGTGTATTGGAGGACAGAGGACATGAATCAATTGGATTTATGTACTCTTGATTGGTGGCGACATGCGTGCACTTCTATTACGAAAATATACAACACGGCGCACCACGACTGAGCTCCGTGACGTTGCGAGGGCGTTGCAGCAAGGGACAACAAACAGTTTATTGACACTTGGTACGAGACCACGCCATGGACAACACGGGTGCCAAGTGCATTGTGTGGCTTGTGCCGAAAGGCGGTATCACACACAGTCGTTCTACTGCATGCGTACTACACAAGTCCTCCGCATCGAATTCACCCTCTTCAATGGAGCACATGCATATTCATTCAATGAATCGTCGACGACTGTCTTGTTGGAGTTCGCATCAACTAGCCTGCACACGGGACATTGGTCAAGGCGTGCACGACGAGCGCTGGTTCTTGGCACAGTAGAGCGACCACATCTCGGTGCGCGGTTGCGACTTGCAAGGCCGTCATGCCCGCCTATTTCATCGGTGAAAGTCGAATCGTTTTAGTAGTAGCTACCTTGTTTTCAGCGATGACGTGGAGCCGTGGCTGCTGCGTCAGCAAGTACGCGACAAGATCGACAAATCCCTTTTGAGAGGCTGCGTGCAACGGCGTGTTGCCATCCTACAAGACACAAACTTGTCCCATCTCTCGCCGCCAATCAAAACGATCGTACATCGTCGGCCGCGTTGATATCGCAGTCCACATTTTCGACCAGCGCCCGCACCACGTCGAGGTTGCCGCGCTCGCAAGCACACACCAAGGCCGTTGCCCCATTGGCCTCCTAGAGTCAGGTCTCCAAATCTGCAAAACAGCGTCGGTCGTACCGCAGAGCGACCGTTGACGTCGACCGACAGACTCTCGAGAAGCGCGTGCAGGGCATCCACGTAGTCGCCGTGGCGCTCGAAAGGCTTTGTGGCTTCACACGCGACAACCGAGTGCAGTGGCGTCGTCATCGCTGTCTTGAGAAGGGCTTGGTGCCACGCCAGGCCGGTTTCGCTAGCCGGTGCGTGGGCCTCGGTAGCGTTGATATCGACACGAGGTAGCAGCGCACGAAGGACATCGCCGTGGCCGCGGGTCACAGCATGTGCCAGCGCCATCGATCCCTTCTGCGTGGCCTACAGTTGTATCTATCAGTTCTTACGAAAGTGAAAGCGCACTACGTTGGGGACGTCAATCGGCGCACCCAGCTCTAGCAGGCAGTGCACGACTGCCGCATGGCCCAGGAGACTCGCCATGACGATGGCAGTCTTCGGCTCCTACTCAAAAGATAAGCGGACATTGCCGCTTCCAATGCATTGTACCTGCGCCTGGTCCACGCAGGCGACGTTGGCGCCGTGCGCAGCGAGAAGCTGAAGCATCTCCACCTTGGCTCGGATTGTCGCCACAAACACCGCTGTGTGCCCATACTAGACAGGTCCCATGTAGAAAAGACAAAGCGGCAAGGTTACCGGATTGATGACTTCCAAGTCCTTCATGTAAGGCAGCAGCACCGCAAGCGTGCTGGCGTCGCTGTGCATGACAGCATCAAGCAGCGGAAGATGTCCATCCTACAGGTTGCTGCTGTCAGTTTGCATCAAGAAGAGAGATTGTCGACGATTTCTTGGTTGGCATCGGCCCCCAGCTCGAGGAGCCACGATACAATGTGCGCTCGGCGGGTGTTGATGGCGAGCCGGAGGTACGAGAAATGCTAGCAAGCGAATATATATATTCGCTTGCTAGCATTTCTCGTACCTCCGGCATATATATATGAGTGTCTGGAACGATGGTGGCGCGGCGGACTTGAAGTGTCTTCGTCTCGTCGTAACACAGGTCGCCCGCGTCGATATCAAAGTACGGCAAGAGCAGCTCGGCGACGTCGCGCCAGCCCCGTGTAATGGCTTGCGTAAACACCGTCGGGTTCGTCTACAAAGCGTCCTCTGCTGTCGCCCGTCGAGATGACATTTTTATACATTGGTCGCGAGGAGCGGATTCGCGCCGGCTGCCAAGAGCATCGATAGAATGGCCACCATTTGCGTGTCGTCGTCCGGTTGTTGCGAATTGACAGCCCAGTAGAGAGCCGTGCTCCCTTCCTGCACCATTACAGGCCATCTATCGAGCACGAGGAATGCACCTTCGTTCTAGCGTCGACATGGAGCGACGCTTCTTGCAGTAGGCGCGCGACGGTCGCTAATTGACCCTTCATCGCTGCCGCCATGAGCGGTGTGCCGCCGTCCTACATGGCGGCATCGCTACCAAGCCCATGGAGGCAGTGACGCACCGCGTTGCCCGCGTTGCAGTCGGCACCGGCACGGAGAAGCGCGTCGACAACCGGTAGGATGCCTTGGCCGCAAGCGCAAACCAAGAACGGCTCGTGGGCGCTCTAGGACCGCATCAGTCTTGTGCACCGACGCAGGCCATTGAGGCGCACCGATAGAATGTTGACATTGTCCATCTTGGCGGCCAAATAGATGACGATATCGTCGTGGCCTCGGCGGAACGCGCACAGAATGGGAAGCTCTCCCTTTAAACGCATGCGTCATCGGCGACGCTCGCGCCATGTCGTGTACCTTGTTGGCGGGTGCGACAGTGGCCCCGGCCTCGACGAGAAGCTGCACAATCTCCAAGCGGCCATTCAAGGCCGCATTGTAGAGAGGATAATCACCACCCTACCCGACATCGATGTTAGGGCCTGCCAAAGAGACCATGCGTACGCCCGTGACAGCGTCAATGTCCGAGGATGGCAGCAAGGATTTGACTTTTTCGGGCTCGTTGAAGAGCACGGCGCGGTAGAGGGGCGACCCCCAGATGTCTGGCACCGTAGCAGCGACGCCCTGCGCAAGGGACACGTCGACGATGGCCGCCACACCGTTCTACATGTACATAGATCGGCCTCCTCGCTCGTACCAGCAGTCGACGGTGCCGGTATGTACCTCGTTGGACGAGTTGGGATTCTCGCCGTTATGCAGCGCCACGTCATTTGTAGGCGCCGCGTCAACCAAAAGCGACGTGCTCTATGCCAAACAATACTGCCGTGAGCACGCGTCAGAGACGAACCATGGACGCGCACCGTGGTGGTGGCCGCGTCACACGCTCCGAGGTAGTTGCGAGCGTCCATCGTGATGACGTCGATGGGTCCAAGCGACGGCGACAGGCTGTCCACGCGCTGCATGTTGTCAAGGAGCATCAAGACAGCCTCGGCATACTTGGCGCCGTTCGCTTGGTCGTTCTTGTTCTGGTACCCTGCGGCGAGGCCCAGCATGAGGTTCTGGTAGTCGAGCTCGCAGAGCGGAATGCGGTGGAGCACAATGTCGTCTGCGATTCGCTTCAGGTCCTTAACGCTCTGGAGCGTCTGAAAGAGGTCGATGGCTTGATGGTACCCACTTGGGTTGCGCGGGCCGTTGGCGTCGCTGAGCTGCCGCCAGAACGCCGCCGCTTTCGCCAGCTGCTTGGTCGAGATGAGTGCTTCCAAGTACGACGCGTTCATCAACGCGGTCGGGTCGACGCCGCGGCCGAGCGCAAGATCCATGGCCGCCTCGACGTCGGTAGAGCTGAGCATGCTCATCAGAAAGGACATGGTGCATGGCGTCGGCTGGACGAGCGGTGACGCCGCCGTCATGGCTTGGAGGTTCTCGTACAGCAGCGTCGCGGCGTCTTGCTGTAGGTACTTGGCGAGCAGCGCCATCGCTTCCTCCTCTACGCGCGCCGTCATGACCGGGTCGAACGCGGTCCCCTCGAGTGGTTGCAGAAGCGGGCGGTAGTACGCGGCCACTTCCTCGACGATGCCAGCAAAATCGTTGTCGTCACAGAGCCTCTGTAGCTTGGCGTGCATGCGGGCGACATCAATCGACGGCGCCGTGGCATGATTGGCCGTGGGCGGGAGGCTGCTCAAGGTGAAGTCGCGGACCGTCGATGCACGCGACAGAAGAGGCTGCGCGATGTGGCGCATGCGTCGCAGCATGGCGGGCGACGGGCCGAGCGCCGCAGGGTCGCGCGGAGGGCCATGCTTAGGGCGCGTCCCATGTCGTCGTCCGAAAAAGTATATACCGGTACGCTGGACAGGGCCAGAAGCGGCTCGTCTCGATTGGCGACACGGTTCGCTTCGGCGTTGTTCGTATACCACTGTTGTGTTAAGTTTGATTGAAGTATTAAATTTCGATAAAGTACGACGGCGCACTTGACTGAAATTCACGCAACTTTCTGATTAGGTGCGAATGTGACAGCGCGCCAGGACTCCAGCAAGCGACGACGACGCGTTGGCCCGGAAAAGTCTGCGCACTGCAGCAAAGGTCGCGCATTGACTTTTGTCTAGGCCAACGCGCCGTCGTCGCAAAGACCGGTAAAAGATGCTTCGCATTCAAAGTTCCTTCCAGCTCACCCCGCCCGCACGGGACCTGTTATTGCGCTCAAATCTGAGCTTGCCGGTTACAGAATCGGTTACACAATCGGTTGCGCAATCGGTTACGCCGTACAACCGCCGTTTTGCTCTGCGGTCCTCGACACGTCGTGTTGGCGACGTGCAAAGCACCGCACTTGCGATATAATAGAAAGAATACACACACTGCCGTCACATGTCGATCGTAGCTCGTTCGGCGTCGAAGCAAGAAAGGGACATCATCTTCGGAAAGGATTCCGATTCCGACACATCCAATGCTACCGCACCTGGCGCTGTGCATCTATAAAACTGTCTCGCGCTTTATTCTGCTTGGGACGAAGCTGTACGTCAAGGACGTGGGCTCACTGGCGGATTTGGCGCGTGCGACGGCTATCTCGCCCTGCGTTTTCATCGATCACGAGGACGAGGTGTACATGGACGATGCGAACGACGACGACGAGTGGACGCCCAGCCACTTTGAACCGATACGGTGGGCACCATCGCTGCAAGAGCTACCTGTGTGGCGGGATTTGGCCGTAAGCACGCCGCTCCAGGCCGCCGTTATCCAGATGATCGCAGCATCCTGTATCACACATGCTTGCACTACCGGTACCACGTCGAAGACAGTCACGTGGTCCGACGAGACGGTCTTGGCCATTGCAAGATGACTTATCTTCCAATCCGTCACCTCTCTGGGGCTTGGGCGTCTCCGCGACATGACCAAGGCGCCGCTCGCTGTGCTGCGATCGCAAACACGACGCAACTCCCTTCAACTCGAGGGCAGACGTCTGGTGAGAAAACTCTTGAACGCTATCGCAGGTCGATATGAATGGGTGGCGGATTGCTCTACCGGCTCAGCTCGAGACGCCCGGAGTCTACCTCGGGCTCCAACGCGACGCGGCTGCCTATGTGTGTTGTCGCTTCGTGTGGCGTTGGCCTGCTGCGAACCCACGGTGCTCCAGTCGCGCCTCCTCAAAGCTGAGGGAACAACCAAAAGAGACAAAGACTTTGATGTATTCGACAGTATCAATCATGTAGTACACGAGTGGGAACGGCTACTCCACGATACACCACGACTCGTTGCGGAGGTACCTTTTGGCGCACCGCCTGCACCTGTCCAGCTCCTCTTCATCTTCTATGACGTCGCAAAGGTAGACGGTGCCCCACCGAGTGGAGGACGTCGAGACTGCGCGAATGATGCGCTTCATTGCGTCTGTCGAGAATCGGTTGGCCCGCAAGCTCAGTTTGTAGAGGTGGTCGGTCGAGTCGATCACACGGCAAAGCGCGTCCGCACCGTCGTCATCGATGCCGCAACCAGAGAGGCTGAGAGTGTCGAGGTAGCGCACGACAGGCAAGAATGCACGAAGGCCGCGCGAGCCAATCGGGTTGAAGTTCATGTCCAGGTTCTTGAGCGACGGACAGTCTGGGATCTTCGAGGCCAAATACTCGGCAGCCCAGTGCGTGCACTCTTGATCGTCGAGCTTCAACGCTTCAAGATGACGGCAGTTCGGAAGGGCGCGGGCGAGCACGGCGATGCCAAAGTCGTCAAGGCGTGTGTTTTGAAGCTGCAAACTCGTGAGCGCTGGCAGTCGCTCGCTCAGTCGCACGACCGACGGCAGTGGCATCGCTGTGTGAGTGATCGAGAGATGCCGGAGCCGCGGAAGGCTAATGATCGCGTCCAAGAAGTTCGTCGCCAACACCACGTCCTTTTCCAGAGGGACCAGAGTCCCCACCGTCAACGTGCGCAGATTGGAGCCAGCGATGGTATCTGTGAGGCCAGGCACGTCCTCGGACCGCCGCACATACGTATGAAGCGACTCGAGCTGGGTCGGAAGCGACAACCTGAGGCTGAAGAGCGTGCGCGGCAATTGTCCGCCATCGACGCTGAGGGACTTGAGCGTTTGTGATTGTAGGAGCGCGCGTGCGAGGGTCTCTGCATTCGCAACCTTGATTGGCACACCCACAAGACGAATGGAGGTGACGGGCTTGGCTTGGAACCAGTGTGTCAAAGCAGTGACTTCTCTCGCGGTCCACTGCGCCGCGGAGTTGACGTCGTAGTGCAGCGACAGCTCCGTGACGTTGGAAGCGATTAGCCGATTGAGGAGAGACATCGTCTCTTCTGCACGCGCGTCAGGATGCCACCGGACGTCGAGGCGACGGAGCTTGAGCAATCTGGGCAGCACCTCGCAGACGAGCTGGATCGGCAGTTTCTTGGGGTCTTGCTGTAGTCCGAGGCTCTGCAGCTGCTGCGCCCAGTCGTTGAGAGCTATTGCGAGCTCTTTGGCCGACCAGATACGCGTCCGCGTTACTGGAGTGTCTCGCGGAAGGCGAAGATGGCGATGGACCTTGAGGTTGGCTTGGAGCCTTGGTAGCATCGGCGCGTAGGCTTGGAAGATTGGAATGAGCTCCTTTGGCATGAACGTGAGGTACCGCAAGTCGAGCGTGTGCCACAGACTCGCCATGTTTGTGTTCGTGAGCTGACCGCTGCAGACGGCCTCGTAGAGCGTGGCGAGCGCGGCCATGGGCTCCGTGCGCCACGCGGGTGGCAGCGCCAAGACGAAGGCATGCATCGTCTTGCCATCTTGCAGGTACGTGGCTACGACTTGAAGCACTTCCGGCGGCAGGAGCGTCGCCTTGTGCTTCTTGGCCTGCCGAGCGTCGACGTTGTCGCTCATGATGGCGATTTTCTGCAATGATTTGCCTTGAAGTGCGGAAGTGAATCGCACTTATTCGGATTTCTGGACTTGGCGTCATCAAACTTGATTATTCAAATCAAACGCTATCAGCACTTGAAGGACGACTCGTCACGTGCATGCCCTGCGCATGGTGCAAATCGACGGCATCGAGCTTGATGCCGTTGGGACGTCGCTGCTGATATACGCTGTCAAGCGGAACGAGCGTGTGCAAAGAAATACCCACCTTAGCCCGCGACTCGAGGACCTCAATAAACTGCGTCGCTTTGCCGCCGACGGCAAAGCCTGGAAGGCCTTCACACAGCGTGTCGTTGTGGCCTCACCCGCGGCCACAAGCGTCCCCGGACGACGACAGAAGAAGAAGACGCAGCCCCGCACCGCCGCCTGTGCAGCCACGGCCCGGCAAGCGCATGAAGAAGAAGAAGAAGGAGATTGCTCGTCTCTAAGAACCCTTTGTACCAGCGAAGATAACGCGAAACACGTTCATATGTACTAGAATATATATACTAGTATTACATTACAACATACGATCTGATACAGTATTGTCTTGCAGCAGTACGTTTCGTGCTCGGCGGTATCGGGCAGTACACAAGAAGCGAGCGTTTGATTCCAGATTATCAACCTTATGCATCGTGAGGTGCGCTGCTACACGTAGCACCACGACTCGTTGCGGAGGTACTTCCACATGCACTCGTCCAGCTCTCCTTCATCTTGAATGATGTCGCAGAGGTAGACGGCGCCCCACCGAGTCGCCCGTTTTGAGAGCGCCCGGATGATCCTCTTCACAGCGACTTTCGAGAGGAGGTTGCAGCTCAAGTCGAGTTTGTAGAGGTGGTCGGTCGAGTCCATCACACGACAGAGCGCCGCCGCACCGCCGTCATCGATGCCGCAACCAGGCAGACTGAGAGTGTCGAGGCAGCGCACGACGGGAAGCAATGCGACAAGACCGCGCGAGCCAATCGGGCTGCCATCCAAGTTGAGCGTCTTGAGCGATGGACAGTACGGGATGTTTTTGGCCAACAGCTCTGCAGCAACGTACGTGCAATTTTCCTTGATGAGCCCCAATGTCTCGAGATGGCGGCAGCTAGGAAGGGCACGGGCAAGCACAGCCGCGCCAGCGTCATCGAGGTTCGTGTCATACAGCCGCAGAGTTGTGAGCGAAGGTAGTCGCTCGCTCAGTCGCACGACCGACGGCAGTGGGAGCGCTGTGTGGTCCAGAAAAAGATGCCGCAGCCGCGGAAGGCTCGTGATGGCGTTCATGAGGTTCGTTGCCAGCATCGCGTCCCATTCCAGCGGGACCACCGTTCCGACAACCAACGTGCGCAGGTTGGAGCCAGCAATGGTCTGCGTCAAGCCAAGTACGTCATGGATGTGTCGCACGTAGGTGTTGAGCGACTCGAGCTGGGTCGGAAGCGACAGCCCGAGGCTGAAGAGCGTGCGCGGCAATTGTCCGTCATCGACGTGGAGGGACTTGAGCGTTTGGGATTGCAGCAGCGCGCGTGCGAGCACTTTTGCATTCGCATCGCCGATGGGGACATCCACGAGACCGACCGCGGTGACGGAGTTGGCCTGGAGCCATCGTACAAGCGCCGTGACCTCGGTCGCGGTCCACTGCGGCGAGCTCGAGTTGGAATCGTAGCGCAGCCAGAGCTCCGTGACGTTCGAGTAGTCGCTAAGAGCATGGAGAAGAACCGTAGTCTCTTCTGCGTGTGCGTCAGCTTGCCACAGGACGTCGAGGTGACGGAGCTTGGGTAATCTGGGCAGCGCGTTGCAGAGGTGCTGCGTCGGCAAAGCGTCGGGGTCTTGGGTTAGTCCGAGGCTCTGCAGCTGCTGCGCCCAGTCGTTGAGAGCTGTTGCGAGCTCTTTGGTCGACACGATACATTTCCGCGCTACTGGAGTGTCTCGCGGAAGGCTGACATGGCGATGGAACTTGAGGTCGGCTTGCAGCCTTGGAAGCATCGTCGCGTAGGCGTGGAAGGCTGGAGCGAACTCGCCGGGGATGGACGCGAGGTTCCGCATGTCCAGCTCGGGCCAAAGCCACGTCATGTTGGTATCGGCGAGCTGGTCGCTGCGGACGGCCTTGTAAAGCGTGGCAAGCGCGACCATGGGCGGTGTGAGCCAAGCGTCTGGCAACGCCGATAGAAAAGCATGCATCGCCTTGCCGTCTTGCAGGCACTGAGCGATGTGCTGCAGCACTTCATTTGGCATGCGCGTATGGCTCAAGAGCATATTGCTTTGTGGCGCTTGTCCTCTCACTTTCAAGGGTCCGAAGGATCACTGTTGCCAGACGGACAAGCACTTCCTCGTGCTAAACCCAGCCAATCGGCGGCCCATCCGGGCCTCTCGACAGAATATTTGATCGCTTGAGAGACGTCGGTTCAGTGTGGAGTGGATTGAAAGTATCAACTCGGAATCGAGTGGCCACGCGACGACCACGCCGTTGTCAACTCGAATGCCACCATGTACTCTTGTTAATTTCTTGGGGTCAGACACGGAGAGAGAACTTACGCACTCCATAGCTATGCATCACCCAAGGACGTCGACATTCAAGCATGATCCGACATGGATATGGCCTACAGCATGGCATCCAGTGGCGCAGCTGAACGAGCTACGTAGGTGATGGCTAGGTCGCTGTGGTTGATGGCAACCAGTAGACATCGACCCGGCAGACGCGCAAGGATCCCGTTGTGCGTGACGAGCGTTGCGTGCGGCGGTTATACCCTTAGGTTGTCAACCCAGGGTGGGCTGTTCCTGCACTCAATACTGGCGCAGGTCGACAACCAGATCTTATACACTGTAGATATCTGGCATAAGAAAACCCCAGCATTCGTATCGGGTACTGGTACTAGTGGTCGAACGCTGCTGGATCCGTTTTGTGCTCGATTGTACTTGATACAGTTCTTGGCGAATCACATCCCTTGCTGGTTGATATTTTACCGATACTCAAATTGCACTTTCCCCCACCTCCACAGAATTGTTAAAACGCCTTCTACTGCAAGATATGCCTTCACAATTCTATGCAGGACAGAAAAACACACTGACGATACGATGTGAACCGGAGCGACTTGGCGTCATTCCGCAACTTGACACGCGACGTGACGATGGCTTACGCGCCCCTGCCGGCCGAGACGCTGCAGCACATTGCGCAGTACTTTAGCTCGTCGAACGAGATGCATGCCTATGTAACGGCGCTGCCGCAAGAGTGGTTGACGCCGCCGATGGCCGCCTTGCACGAGCTCTACGCCTGCGTGCGCGACGGTCGTCTCGCCGACACGAGCGCAAAGCAGCCCAAGATGGTGCAGCTCTGGCCCGAAGTACAACTACCCACGTCGTTCACGGACGCGCCACTGCCCCGCTCGGAAGCAGACGCGCAGCTTGTGGTGCTTCTCAGAACGTACCTTTCAATGCTGCCGCGCATCACGACGCACGTCGGACGCAGCATCTCGGACTTTGTTCCGCCAGGCACCAACCTTTGCATCGATCCAGCAAGCTTTGTGTACGAGCTGGAGCGTGCGGCGGATCTCGGGAACGTCGAGGAGTTGCGCGTCCTCATCCGTGACTGCTGCGACGGGTCGTGGCCGCCCCACGCCTTTGACTGTTTACGTCGAATGTCGAGATTGCGAGAGCTCCGTGCCGACTGGCTTCCATTGAGAGGCTCGGAGCTCCAAACAAACTTTGTCAAGATGCTTGCGTGCTCGAGCATCACGCGTCTGGCAGTGCACTACCACGACAGCGCCGTCACGTGGTCCGAGGCGACGGGCAAGGCCTTTGTGCGATGGATTCGCTCCGCGCCCATAACATCCCTCGAGCTCGGGCATCTGCCTCTCTCCAAGCTTGACGCGGCCCGGCTCTCGGTTGCAATTCTGCAATTGCGAACGCTGAAGGTCCTCAAGGTGGAGGGGACCCTAGCCCGTATGCTCTTTATCATCATCGCGCATCAACCATTCCTTTCGAAGGTGGGGCGACTAGCACTCCCACGCCAGCTCGAGACACTCGAGGCCGTCGTCGAGCACGAACGGGACGTAGTCAGCGTTTTGCGCGTCATCCGCGGCACCAACCTACGCCACGTATCCCTCTTCTGGGACGAGCCCCTCGACGACCCCACGGCTCTCGCGCTGCGCTCCGTACTCGCGAGTCTGCAGAACCTTCGTCAACTCGAGCTTGGTGGCGTGAATATGGCCCCCATCGATTTGGCGCCGATGCAGCGCCTCGAGCAATTGGAGCTGCATCGGAGCACTCTGAGCGATCCCGGTGTGATTCCAACGGTGTGGGCACTACCCCAGTGCCGTTGGCTAGGACATCTGAGCCTCGTCGACCAAGGGTGCACATATCTCACGGCGGAAGCACTCGCCGCTGTCATTCCGCACTGCCCATCGCTCAAGACACTCCAGTTGTCGTTCAACAACTTGGGCACGGAAGGTTTCATCGCTTTGCTGCCGATTGTGCGGTCGCTCGATGCCTTGCTGCTTCGCGCCAACGGCATCGATGTCGACGGCGCACTCATGCTGGCGCATCATATCGATGCCACGGCGCACCTGACCGATCTCGAATTGTCTGGCAACCCCATCGCCAAGTACGGTGTCATTAGTATCATTGACTCCATGATCACATCGTCCATCGATCGACGCGGAACTGTGGGCCTTTGCAATACCGTCGACGAAGCTGAGGACTTCGAACGGTGCATGGAGTGGGCGGCGGCGCTCCCAAACCGTGCGTGGGTAAAGCTCGATGTCCCCCCGTTCTAAATACATACATGATATGACTCTCATGGATTCTCGGTCATTGACCGCAACAACGACCATAACATCATGGCACGCAGGGACCATAGATGCGCTGCCGACAGTGGAATTCGATGCGGTCGCTTGATGGGTTGGGAGTCGCAGCAACGTTTGATCTCATTGCTACCCCTAGCTTAGAGGGGCGCTATATACGGGTATTGGAGCTTTTCTGATGGCAAGAGCCTAGCATACGAATTGTCGACGCCGTTTCCGGTAGCGCCTGTCGTGCAGCCACAACGCCGTTGGAGCCTGCCACGTCATATTGTATTTTCCACCAATCGCAAACGTGCACATCAATGATTGGCCAAAATTGGGTCGTCGCCAACTCCATTTTTGTCGGCAAGCCCACGAGGAGCATGGACGAGGCCGTCGTGACGACCGAGCAGCATGTGCTGCTACCCGAGCTCTTCCAGCGCGTCGCCGAGTACATCATGACGTCCAAGGACATGCTCTCCTTCCTGCGCGCGCTCCCGACGGCGTGGG